GTACATAAATTAAATTATAAAAAATTGAATTAAAAAATTACACAAAAAAATGAGGAATTTCAAATAGTTAATTTGATAATAATATCGATATATTTTTGTCAAAATTTTATGATATATTCAAACATATATTTTATTCAAAAATAAAAACATAATCGCTTTCTMAAAATCACATAAAATCATATTATAACATCGACTGAGATAAAGAATAAAATGAAATATTAAAATCACGATGTATCTCGCTGCATTGCACGAGTACACTTCTAGTATTTTAATAATATAATTAATCTTATAATCTTTAAAATAAAAAACCGGTTAAATATAATTATTTTTTACAGATTTTTTATTTTGATTTTTTATTTTAAATTAAAAAAATATTGATAGGGTTTTTTTTTTCAATCTAACAAGTAAAATTAATATTTTCTTTGCTCTTTTATGATAATTAGTATGATTAAAAAATTCATTTGCTCTTTTATGACTTTGGGTTTTACATAGCTCACAAAGCAGTCTACAACCTATAATTTACCAAAACATTTGTCGAAGGACTATTTCTGTATATATAAATACTATAAGGGTCAATATATAAAAAGTAAATAGTACAAGGACCATTTAGATACTTCAAGAAGTTTGTCACTCTAAATACAAACGAGTAACCATACGCCACAATCAACTAAAACTACAAGAGTCTCTCCTGGTTCTTCTCAAGCAGCCATTAAAACAGACCTCGAAAACACCATGACGAAGACGATGAAGGCCTGGAAACACGATGAATATGGCGGTGTTGATACATTGAAATTAGTCACCGATGCGGCGGTCCCTGAGATCACCGATGATCAGGTCTTGGTTAGGGTTGTTGCCGCAGCTCTTAACCCTGTCGATTTCAAAAGGAGGCTTGGATACTTTAAGGCTACGGATTCTCCTCTTCCGGTAAGTTTTCCGGTGATAATATGTTGTTCCGATCGATTATTTTGTAGAAATTGAAGGTGTAATATGTGTAATCGTACGATGCTTTTGTTCTCGTCTTCTTCAGTTCCAACCGATTCTCAGATCTGCTAATTGTGAATCAATGTATTCAGAAACAGAATTGATTTGTAAAAACACTAGATCCGATTCAGAATTAGATACAATCGTTACATAAATTACATCTTCTGGAATCAATTGTAATCGTGTTTGGTTTTGAACTTTTGATTAATAGATTATTCCTGGATATGACGTCGCCGGAGTAGTTGTGAAGATCGGGAGTCAGGTGAAAGGTCTGAAAGAAGGAGATGAGGTATACGGAGATGTAAACGAGAAGGCTCTAGAAGGACCTAAACAGTTTGGAACTTTGGCGGAGTACATTGCGGTTGAGGAGAGATTGTTGGCTTTGAAACCTAAGAACTTGGATTTTGTGCAGGCTGCTGCTCTCCCTCTTGCCATTGAGACTGCATATGAAGGTCTAGAAAGGGCAGGGTTCTGTGAAGGTAAATCAATCCTTGTTCTCAATGGTGCCGGTGGAGTTGGATCGTTGGTGATTCAGGTAATATATTGTATTTATAATCAAAGCATTTTAAGTGATTTTCCAAAATTTATCAAGAAAAAAATAAATTCTTTAAAAAAAATTACATTTATTTTCAACAGATTTATAATCAACAGATTTTTCATTTTAAAGAATTAATCGTTGATTATAATATTAAAATATTATTTATCTCTTTAAATATTTATCTTAAAGTTTTCTATTGATAAAAAATTATCTCTCTCCCAAGATAAGAATCGACTAACCCTTCAACATCGTATATGTTACTTAAAAACTGAAAATGTCAATCCAAATTTAAACCAAATGACAAGTTTTATATATGTAATTTGAAGTTAGTACAAAACCAATGCTAAATTGTATCAACCAAAAAAAGTTGGTACCAAATACAAATAGTTGATACATCATACAAAATTTTACGTACCAACTATAATTATTTGGTACATAAGGAAAAAGATTTGGTACCAGTATAACTTCTCCCTTAATTGAAAATACTTTTATATAGTAAACGGTTATTTTTGGCATAACCTTTTTTTCTCAGTCTATATAATCAACCGCTTACTTAACTATCTCGAAGTAGAAAACAATTAAATGGTGACTACATCCCCGAGCAACAGTCAAACGGGGGCGTGGATACGAGATGGGTGATGATCCCATTCAATGTAATGGTAAGATAGTTGTTTTGATCCGCTCATCGAAGGGAAAAGTGAGAGTATCAAATTGAAAAAAATATTGATTATTTATTCTTCGTTTAGAGAAATTTTAACGAATTTATTGAAGATGCTTTTAAACTTCTTCCTTGATTTTATGCCAAAGAAAACAATAATTACTTCCTCCTACTCCATCAACGCCCCTCTCTTTGCACCGATAAAGTACCTAACGAAAGTAACATCTCAATTTCGATTAATTAATTTCAACATCTTTCATCATAACTCGCTCATTCTCATCCTTAATAAGTCTTACGGTTTCTATGTCACGTCTTCACTCCGTTGTTTTTGCAAATTTGTATATTTCATTCTTCCATTGCTTGGTTTCTGATCTCGTGCATATCTCATATGCCTTGTATTTTGTCATAGAGCGTCTCTAACAGATTCTCCAAATTTAAATTTTTGAGTTAAAAATCAAAATCTTCTAAAAAATATTACATTCATCTTCGATAAATTCTCCATTTTAGATATTTATAACATCAATTATATTATTAAAATATACGATATTTTTAGTTAGATATATTTTCTCTCTTGTAGATGTTCAATTTCAAAAGCTCTTATTGGTGGAAACAATAAAATATTATATCTCATTCATAAGTAATTATTTCTATAAGATTCTCCATATTTAGAAAACTTTTTCATACTTTCTCCATTTTCATAAAATTTTAGAGAATCTGTTGGAGTAAAAAAATACCAAAAATCTCTTATTTTCTTTATTTTAAGGAAGGTGTTAGAGATGCTCTTATCTCCATCAGATTTCCAAAACCTTCTCCAAAATAAATAACATCATAAAATATGAGATGGAGAATAAAAATCTCCAAATTTTGAGATTTCTCAAAAAATATTACTTAGACATTTCCAACCCAACCACTAAAATCATTAAAAACAGTGGGTCATTTGAACACTAAAAAACTCAACTTCAACCATACACTAAAAACATTTTTAATAATAAAATAATGTATGTATTTATTATTATACTATTTTATTAATGTTTTAAACTATTAACCTATATATATAATTAGAATAGTTGAATAAAATATAAATATATATTTTTAGAGGCCTACTTTATTAACCTCAAGACCAATATTTTGGACTTACAATATTTTTTTAATGTTTTAGTGTTGGATTGAAAATGAAAACACCTCTATTTTTGTGTTTTTAGTAGGGTGAACATGATATAGTACCATGTTTTTTTTTTTCCATATATCATGTACCAATCAATTATAGTTGGTATGCAAAATTTTATATCATATATCAATCAATTGTATATAGTACCAATAAATTGGTACCAATTTTTTTTTTATTATCGCAAAAGTTGAAGTTATAAATTATTTAAATTGACAACTTCATCAACTAGATCTATATGCATTAAAACTATCGAGCATGCACATTACATGTTGATATGTGTTTTATCACTTATCACTACTTCTACAAACATTCAAATAATCTCCATATAATACAAACATTCACTAATAGTCTACTACAAGTGCAATTGAGGAGCGTCAATGAACCGTGGAAGTATGGACAATTCATAAGGTTGTTAGTTTAGACGAATGAATTCAATAAAATTATATATATATATATATATATATATATTTGCCAAAATTTAAAATTTAGAATCAGAATATATTGTATTAGTAATTAAACTTTAATTCACAAATAAATCAATAAATCGGTAGGGTACGGTATTACTGTGGTACACGACTTCTAATATCAAGTACCAACCAAGTTTAGATAGTTGATACAACATTATCAACCAAATAAATTGGTATCAACTAAATTCGTACAATTGGTACAGAAATTGATTGGTTTGTCTTGGTATAAAATTGAGACCCCTAATTTTAGTATTAGATTAGAGATGATCTTATGGAAGAGGAATAATTTTTTATTTATTTCTCAAAAAAGATTATTTAAATATTTAAAGAAATAAATAATATTTTATAAATTATATTAAATATTTTAATAATATAATTAGTAACAGATCTCTAAAATAACAAATCCGTTTCCCAACGAAAGGTCCTTTTTTGAAGATTTTTATTTTTATTTTTTACTTAAAAAAATCTACTACCGATGTTGTTAGCCGCTACCTTCTTTGCCTCTCGTGTTGCTTCCGTGTACCAATTTTCGCGGCCGCCACCTTCTTCAAATAATTCATATAGAATTGTTAATTATTTTTATATATTTAACAAAAGGGAAGGCTAATCGCATCCTTTTCACTTGCTAATGGCACCCTTATACAACTATGTGATCATTATATTTTTTGTTTTCTTTTTGTAATTTTGTTTTTTTGTTGTCTTTTTTTTATACTAATTTTTTTAATTATCTTATTATAAATATATACTATTATTTTTTATTTTATAATAATTTAATATTAAAAAATATTATATAT